TGTATGAATGTATGTATGTATGTAGGTATGTATGTATGTATGTATGTTTGTGTGTATGTATACATCCCATGCTTTTTTGGAAGGAAGCTGGACATCGAAGAGGCGCAGCAGCGCAAGGTTGTACCTTGGCCATGAGCAGGAATAAGGTCGTCATCATCATGGTGATGATGCTTGATGATGGCTAAGCTCCTCCGGATCGGTCAAGGACGTCCATCCCACCCTACTAGCCTCCGTGGTCTCCCTGTATCTTGGCCTTCCCAAAACAGCCCGGGGGGGCCATTCTTTGGTGAAGCCATTGAGCCTACGACCGCCTTGCAGGACTTAGAACCTTTCAACCAAAGCACGATGGATCCCCAAAGCCTTTTGCAATACAGTTCGGTCAGTGCTTGCTCATGAGTATGTGCACCATAGCAGAAGGTGTTGTTTAACATGGTGGGAGGACTCGCATCATTTGACTGTCCAGCAGCACTCTGGCAACCCTGACACTACGCTCCTCCAAGTATCAATGTGCCGAGGACTTGCAGGCACAGCTGCAGAAGGACTTTCGGACCGAATGCTTTCATTACGGGGAAGGAGGTCTGTCCTATAGAGTATGAAGTATGGTGACCTCTGGCGAAACGGCAGGCGTGTTCAGAGGCCTTTGACTTTGTTTGCAGGTGGTTTCCACTCGACTGAATTGCTCAAACAGAGTCACAGCACTGCACCCCAGCCACCCGCTGGAATGTGGGAATTTTGAATCAGCTACACACCCAATCTGCATCGAAAAGAGTGGCAATTTCTAGCCGCCCTGTTCGGCAGAACAGCAGCTGTACAGCTGTAGTACAGGCATGCCCCAAACCCTCTCACGCCTTTCGATGACCTCATCCTTGCATCCCGGCAGTCCATGCAAAGCACGCCAAGATGAGTCTTATGACCGTGAGGACGAAGACCAAAATCGAGACTTATTGACAACATGATGGTGATGGCCAGGACCCTCCCATAATTGAAGCTGATAAGTTCGCCAGGAGCTTTCAGAAAAGTCCGCCGGCTTCAAGGCGCGGGTTCCCCCGGCTCGAGGTTTCTTTGACGTTCGGGTTGAAGGGGATTTTGGTGTTTTGGGGGACCTTAGGATCCTCGGTTTGTGGGAACGTTCTCAGGAGGGCTCAGCTTGGGTCCCCTCCTGCAATGTAAACCCGCGTCTGATGTGCAGGAGAAGGAGAAAGCCTACTGGAACTGGCTGGCGGAAGCCAAGCAGGCTTCGGTGGACCAGGATTTCTCAAGGGGGGCACCGGTCATGGTCAGGGTCGTGCCCAGACGCTCTGGTCTAGCCACTGTTAAGCCATACCGTTCAGCGTTTGACCTTGAAACCCCGAGCCCGACACCCGTGCACCCGATACCCTCAACCCCTACTTGTAGTGATGTCTGCCAGCAGCAGCATGCCTGCTGGGTCTCCCTTTACGCTTTGGCTACTTGCGCTTGTGAACCTCTGGCACCGTGAAAAATCGTTGCCCAAGGTACTGCTTTACCACGACTCGGTTCGGGCTTGCCTTTGGAAGTTCTTCTACACGCATAGCACAAATGGGCTTCTATAGACAAGCCCAAGCTCTCTAACTACCCCAGGCCTATTCAGTCGTGTAGCACCTGGGTTCGCCACTCAGCCTAAGGCGTCAACCGCAATTGTGCCCAGATGCATGTGTCATTCGGAATTGATACCCATAGGCCCCATAGTAGTTCCTTTTTGGGATTACCTTATAGGATTCTATATATGAACCCCAAAAGGAACTACTTTAGGACCTATGGGTAGCCCAAAACACTCACCCAAACATTCTACGCACAACCCAAGGCCTCAACAAGCCCGAAACCCTGAATTGGCCGTAAAGCTTGAACCCGAAGGCTTCCGAACACCTATATAGCGCGGGCACAGGGCAAAAAGCATTCCACAAAGCAGCGTCGAACGTCGCAGCATCGAAGCAACCCGAAACCCTCCAAGTACCAGTCGTTTAGACTTTAATGTAGGGGCCTTAACAATCAAAACAGGGTTTTGGGGCCCATTATACTATAATTAGTAGGGTTTTGGGGCCCATTATTTAATAATCAAAATAGGGTTTTGGGGCCCATTATACTATAATTAGAGTAACCTTGAACTACCATAACCTACTTTT